GCTTATCTCAGAATCTCCTACAAAGGTAGAGAAGGTTTTGCGGCAGACAGATCATTGCAGAACGAGTTCTGGGGTCGGGGGCTGAACTTTTAATGATCTGAAGTGAAACTTTTGCTAACGAACAGGCTCTTTTCCAACTCATACCATTGGCTGGAGTTATAGCCAGGATTTCAAATGTTTATTAGTTTGTAAAAAAAGAAACTGGAATTGTATATTCCCCTGATTTATCAACTGCTGTTTTTTTTAAAAAAAACTTTTCACTAGAATGGGCTAGGAAATGACGTGAAACTTAAATATTTATTAAAGTTCTAAAATGCTTTGTAATAGATCACCTTTCCACCAAGGCAAGTACATTTTCACGACCTAAATGTTATAATTCTAATTTCTTATGGGCAGGACGATTTTACAGAGACAATATACCTAATTAAAAAGCCTGGGGAAGTGAAAGCAGAAGAGAATTATTTATCATATTTAAAATGTTAGTCTTCTATGTGCTGGTGTTGGTCCAGTTACTGATACATTCTTAATACCATAGCACTACATAACATTAAAGTATGGGTTTTTACCAGTGCTTGGACTCTGAGTTTGTAGATATATATATAGGGGTACATAGAATTACCTTTAGGCAGGCTTGCCCCCCCCCCCTTTGCACCATCCCAACAATATGAGATGTAGTTAAAGAAAACTACAAATCTCACACGCCAGATTGGCATTTCACAGCAGCCTTTCCAGCAGGAAGTTGTAGCTCAAGACACATCTTTTGGCTTTTACATGATTCCATTAATAGTGGAATAAATCTTCTTTATTCAAATCATATACGAGGAAGCTGAAACAATACATTGCAGACACTGTCTATGGACTTAATATTGTCAGGCAAAGACTGAAAAGGCACTAGAGATTTTTCTCCAACAAAGCTTTAATAGATTTAGGAAACAAGTTATCGACGCTTAGGCTGTTCGCATTGTGTCTCTTATCATAATTGACAGTTTGACGTAAAACCTAGTCACATGACTGTCAGAGACACATGCAAATGGATAAGAGGTCACATTTCACATACTCTTGTTGGAAAGGAAACACATTTAAAGGAAGTTTCACTCAAAACAATGACAATATGCATATGTTTATAGCCTTCCTCAGTCAACAAAAAGCAAAGCTTGGTCTCATATCACTTGCTGCCTTTTCCATATATATATTTACCTAAGCTGCTGAACAAAGAGGTGTGGAAGGAATATTAACCTTAGAAACTTTGTTAAGACGTGGGAGAATAATATTAAATGATACATGATGTGTTTAAGAAAATTAGTTGTAGGTTTGTAATTTTTTAAAAAATACAATACTAAAAATGGGGTGGGTGAGTTTCAATTAAGACGTCCCTGTTTCCCAGGGACAGTCCCCGGATTTACAAATCAGTCCCCATACAAAATCCACTGAAGTTGAAAAGTGTCCCTGGATTCATTGAAAAAAGTCTGGCAACCTTAGTTTAAATAGCATTATATGAAAATTAGATTGGGATCCAGAGAGTTGCCTGCTGCCCAACTCCCAGCTCCCCTGCAGCCCAACAGTATCCAATTTAAAATGCTTGTGTCTTGATCCAGCAAGAGAGATGCAGCTGATCTTTGCTTCTGGTACTTGGGACGGTGATTGCAATTCCCAATGTTGCATTAGGAATCAACCTGTGCAACTCAGTTCCTGCAATCCTGTACGTATTTACCTAGGGAGTTAGCCCTATAAAAATGGCCCTTCACAATGGTGACCATCATCTTAAAAAATAAATAAATCACATCTGTTATATGTTGAATGAATAGGTGCCAGTTGGTGCATGTGTTTAGAATAGCAATTTACATGCAGGCAAGTTATTACTGCATGTGTATCTTTGGATTAGGTGCTCTGTGGGTGTGTATGTATAATTTTTATATTCGTAGGTTAAGGTGGCCGTCTTACTGGCATGTGTGCAATTGCACATTTATTTTTATATTTAAAAGTATTTGTATGCAAAGTATAGTACTGGTGGCAAATATTACAAGCTTTGCAGTTTTCTTAAATTACCATAGGCCATACCATTACCATACCATTCAGATCCTATTACACGTGTATTATTTATCATAGTTATTGGTAAGAAGATCTGAAATTATTTAATAAGGCCAGTATATTGACACACTTTCTAATCAATATAAAGGTTTTGTACTAGTTTCTAAAGTTTTGATTTAAAAGCTATTGACATATTTAGTTAAGAGTCTAGTCATATTTTGTGCCAAACCACGCCCCCCCCAACTATAATTCAGAACACAAAGCATGGCTTGAGTTTTCAGCTATCAGGCAAACCATGATTTCAGGTTTCTCACCTATTTTGATTTCTGTTTGCTCAGCACTCTTAGCTACAGTGTCTTCCAGAAGCAGAACAACAGCTGTGTGTCGAGGTCCCCAAGCCACCCTCAAATAAAACACAATTCACACAGAATTTTTGTTTAAGGTTTTTGGCATAATTTTTTGGCCACAACTTTATTGATTACAGAATGTGAGTGGTTGCTTAGGCATTGCTTCGCGACTCTCTCTTCCCACCTTAGAGGTAGGAACAGAACTGACATCCGCAAGCCTGCGAAAGTCAAGAAGGGAAAACATTTTGGGGAGAGAATAGAGCTGGGTGCCAGGCCCTCACCTCTCCCCAAATGCTCCCAGGGGCTCTTGCGTGGCCCTAGCCCCTTGACAGGGGTTCATACAAGAGCATGGCAAGCCCCTGGATTCCTTTAACAGAATACCCTTGCAACAGCAGCATTAGAGGGGCAGGCACAGCCAACCATACCCCCTCCACCAACCAAATTTAACCAATGCCTAACCGCAACCTTACAAGTTGTGATGATTTGCTATGCAGTAGGCAAAAAACAAAATGGCACTGACCAATCAGCCAAATGGAAAAATTCATACCAGGCCCCTGCCCCAAAGCAGACAACCCCATGACAGGCATAGCAAGGTCAATGTGAACAGCCCTAAATATAGGGAGGGTGGGCGGGTTATCCGATGCGTGCAGTGAAAAGAGGCAGCTTAACGCTGCGCGCAGGGAATAAATAGCCCCTTGGCTGTCAATCATAAATTGCAACATCAAATTCTCCCCAACGACCAAGTGGTGCCCAATAAGATTTGTGGCCATCCAGACTAACCCGCCCAGCAACAGAGGGATGTCTTGTTTGCCCCCACCGCAACACGTGCTCTCCATGAAGGAGAACACGCTCTGTAGCTCTTGATTTTCAGTTCAGATATAATTCCCAACCATAACTGGCACTCACCATAGCTTACAAACCCAATTTTCACACCTAGGTTTCTGATTCTGGTTTGCTGATCAATTACAAACCATCATTTGTCAATTCAGACAGCACAGGGTACGATTTCTGTGACTGAATCTGAATTGAGCCTGGTTAGGTTTAATAGATGATTGCACACAAATATTGCAGATGCAACTTTGATAGTTAAAATGCTGCCCCCTTAAATTTAACCATTAAACTTCCAGTCGAAAGAAGATGTGTAATAAGTTTGGCTCCACATCTACACCAGCGTGCTACTTAAGATCCTTGAAGTTCAGTGAGTTCCTTCAAGCTCACAGTCTGGTTCACTCTGAAAAATACTGCCTGTAGAAAATTTTATAGGAGACACCCACTGTCCTCGAGGCATAATCTCTGGTATTGTAGCAATACTTGAGAATTATTCTGGGCAGGAATGTATCTCTTTCTGGTTGATTTTCCTGGTCGTCGTCCCCCCCCCCCCCGATGTTTTAAAAAGATCACACTGAATTTTTCAGATAACGAATAAGAAAACAGTCAGGGAAGGTCCTTTTCCATTTCTGAAGACTCAACGGCAGGAAAGGCAAGAGGGCAGCAGTCAGACAGGGTCAAGGCATGGATATTATCTTGTCCTCAGCATATATGTTTTTCAGGAAAGGACTATAATAAATTGAGCTGCTGTGAAAGTCATTGCTCTAACTTTTAGAGGCACTTAAGGCTTTACATTGGGGGATGGGAGGAAGAACAGCTTTTAGGTACAATTGATTACAGTATTCGTGTTATCGTGTTGAATTTGAAAGTGTGATTTGGTACTTTTTAAATAGTATTTTTATAGTATTGGTGAGTAGGGATTGAAATCATACTTTTCCTATGCTTTCTTCATCAGACTAGATGGGGCTTATTTGCTCAAACATAAATATAATCACTGCATCTTTTCAGGAAATCTGCTAGCACTGTAGGGCAGCTGCCAGATAAATGGCTGTATAGGGTTACATGAATAATTAGTGAAGAGCAGCGCTGATGATTTGGTGATCTGGGAAGAATTTGTTTCAGCTTACATGTAATGCATTCTCCACTGTATTTTAAAGTCTTTTAAATGGTATTATTTTGCTTCTAGAGCTAGATTAGATTATTTTACCACTGCATGTTAAGTGATGCCATATTCAGTAACACTAAATTAATCAACCTCTATTACAAATGCCTCCACCCTTCTTGAACAGTAAGATAAGGTCATTATGTAATTTTGGATCCTCTTTCCTTTAAATTGCATGTCATCTGTGTATCACCAAATGCATGCTTTCAAGGTATTGATTTCCCCCCCTCCCTCTGTCCTTCCCCCCCTAGTACACTGAATAATTTTAAGTGGTTTTGCTTTTCCTTTTTTGTTTTTAAATTCACTATTGAACATTAACATTTCTTTTTTTCCCCAGCTCAGTTTATAATATAATTAATTGCTAAATACCGGTTATTCTTTTATGCTTTTATTAATGGAGAAACACATCCAAGTAGCATTTTCTTAATGTGAGGAAAAAGTAGGATTTTGTTTTGCACAAGATGTGTTACGATTTTATTTTTGAAATTGTTTTTGTTTTTTTTACACTAGTACTACTACTACTTGGGGATGTAAGGTTTGTGCCATGTAAAGTACTAGTTTGCATGCATTCATTTAAATACTAAAAACTGTAGTACTGCTCGATCCATATCTGACTGCTAGGTTTCAATTGACAGCTGAGGATTTGTGACTGGACCTTGAATCAAAACGGCAGGCATTTATACCCCAGTGGCAATGAGGATACATTGGGAATTACTTGGCAAAGGTAAAATTTTAATTATTTCCAAACCTAAACTCTCTTGGGTTCTTCGTTATCTGTTTCAGGTGGCCTTCGGGAATATATTTGTCAAGATCTTAACTACAATATATATATATATATATTTTGTAACGTCTCTTGAATTACATGTTTTAGATTAGCTGAAATGATGCAAATTGAACTTTTATCGGTTAAAGCACTTGGGATACCAAATGTTGGCTGTCAAGTATAAAAGTTTGTGGAAGAATCAAATTTATGGCTGCATGTTTTGAGGCTTGCAAGTTCATAATCAGAGATTATATGGGTTTAAAAAAATAACAAAAAGGAACTTGTACAAGAGAGCAGTTTAGACAACGTACTCAGAAAGAAAACAGTTGATCTGAATTTCAAACATTAGTAGGTTTTCCGAGGTAAGTTAGAAGTCACATGTCTTAAAACTAGCTTTTGCTTTCATAAAGATTTTTACTCTTTGCAGGTGAGGGAAAAAAAAACCCATTTCTACAAAAGAGGAATTTTTAAAAGGTCGTTTATTTAATCATGGCTTTAGCATTATGTGTGAACAAGTTAAGCTGCTTAACGATGGTTTGCTTAGTGCCAACAAACAATGATATGAAACCCTTGTTTCTTATAATTTTGGCATGGCATTACATGTGAACTCAGCTCAGGGATTGTTTTTGTTGTTCTCGTTCACACATCTTGGCAAAGAGTATATTAAGGTATGTCAGCCTTGTCTTGTGTGATCCTCCTTGTGGAGATCACACAACTGATTCCCCACCACCACCCCACACAATAATGTTAATATTGTCTAACAACAAGAATCACTCCCCGGTTCTTGGAAAACCATACAAGGTGCTAGTCCACACTTCCTGTTGCATAGGCACATTTAGCACACATATTCACTCACCATACACACAAGACATACATGTTTCTCTCTCACACACAATCATGTATACATAGCCAACATATTTCTCCCTATTTGTGAGTCTGCAGGGGAAGGTAGGTTTTGGGGACCCCACACTGAAGGCACCCTGGTGCCAAAAAACACTCCCCAAGCATCACCTGCTGAAGACGGCCGTCCAAGTAGGACCAGAACCACTGCAAAGCATTGCTGCCCACCCCAAACTCAGATTGCCTCTCCATGAGGATACAGTAGATGGTATCAAGAGCCGCTGAGAGATCAAGGAAGATTAACAGGGACACATTGCTCCTGTCTCTCTTCCTACAGAGGTCGGGATTATTTATGAGCCCCTAACTTTTTCTTTAGATGATATTATTTTACAGTCTTACCTTGGTTTTTGAACAGCTTGGTTCTCGAACGTTTTGGCTCCCAAACACCACAAACGAGGAAGTGACTGTTCTGGTTTGCAAACTATTTTTGGAAGCTGAACGTCCGACGGGGCTTCCGTGGCTTCCAGTTGGCTGCAGGAGCTTCCTGTAGCCAATCAGAAGCTGCGCTTTGGTTTCTGAACATTTTGGAAGTCGAACGGACTTTCGGAACGGATTCCATTTGGCTTCCAAGGTACGACTGTATTTCAAAATAAATCACTCATTAAGAAAAAGAAAAAGATGAGTTTGGATTTGATATCCCGCTTTATCACTACCCTAAGGAGTCTCAAAGCGGCTAACATTCTCCTTTCCCTTCCTCCCCCACAACAAACACTCTGTGAGGTGAGTGAGGCTGAGAGACTTCAGAGAAGTGTGACTGGCCCAAGGTCACCCAGCAGCTGCATGTGGAGGAAAGGAGACGCGAACCCGGTTCACCAGATTATGAGTCTACCACTCTTAAGCACTACACCACACTGGCTCTCTTGATATAGACCACTTTTAAGCATTGCAAACATTGCCCAAATATATACAGAGATAGACTTTAGTTTTGTATGGTTTATGGTTCTATCACATTGTACACTTTAATTAAGTGAAAAACAATAAATTTCCTACACACACACACACCTTCCAAAAATATAAGTAACATCCCCCCATATATTAAAAATGCTCAATTTTAAGAATACAAGACTTGAAAGAGTTTTAAGTCTTGTATTTCTTCATCAAGTGAAAACACAGCGGAATGGATGTGGAACTGTTGTTGAAGAGAGGTTCCAAGTGCACAGAATCTTGGATATACATTTGTGTTCACCATGGGGTCAGAAAGATGCTCTCTTTCTGGTGGTGGTTCATTGAATTGAGTCTTTAGAAATGTTTGACAAGAAGTATGAGCTATTACTTGATATAAGAATTTCAGTGGCTGCCCTCGAGAGTCACACAGTGGTCCCATCAAGGACCAGCTGGGTGAGGAAGAGTGGCCAGAGGCTGTCTCCCAAGAGCCCCCAGGGAGGGCTCCAAAGATGGCAAGTTACAGCCCGGAGCCTGGTGGTGGGACACTGAGAAAGCAGTCAGCAGAAGGGACGAACTGGGAGCTGACAGAAACAGGAGACTTGAGGGGACTCAGGAAATGGAAGGGCCTTCCAGGAAGCATGTATGCAGTCAGTCCCAGTCCTGCTGACTCTCCTTCTCCTCTGACCCCACACTCCAGGAGGGTCTTGCATGTTGCTGAGCAACGTGCCAGACAGACCCAGAGGAGGAGCTCACCCCGTCAACTCAGCCTTTGCCTGCTTGGGAGGGAACCAGAGTGAGAGGCTAGAGGGGAGGGGCATGCCTAGAGCTTAGCAACAGCAACGCCTTCATTGAGTTAAGACGAACCAGGGACATTGCTGTTTTGTTGTTTTTCTGATAATAAAAAGCTAACTGCATCCTGTGCTTTCTGTGTGTGTGCCAGCCCTGTGGATGACCTGGCTCCTTGACAGGTCCTAGAATGCTTATAATTTGAGCTTGCAGCTACCCTACCTCCCAATCAGTCTTGGCTGCACTGTTTTTGGTTGCCACCGAGTTTGATCTCTGTAAGTAAGGCATAACACCCTAGATCATTGTTGTGCCATTGAAGGGTCCAGCACAGGACAGCTTGCAGTATTTAAGCCTTTCTATAGGAACAGGGCCGTCTTTACTTGGGGATGCAAGGGGTGTGGGGCACCCGGGCGCTGAATGCTGGGGCTGGCCCCAAATGTATACTTACTGTATACCAGTCCCTCTTGATTGGCAGCAGTGAAAAGCAATGGCATGAAAGTCCCCACACCCTCCTCCGCCGCTCTGTTACTTCGTAGCGTCAAATATTTCCGACGAGTCAGGAAACGAAAGCATTTTTTCCCACTGGTTCGTTGTTACTGGTGAGCGATCCCCCCCCAAAAAAGGTCAACTTTGGCTCCCCCCCCCAAAAAAAACTCAATAAAAGTTAATTTGGGGGCAGCTAAACTAAATTTGGGAGCACTGGGCGGATATTTGCACTCCGGCGGCACATATGCTAAAGACGGCCCTGTATAGCAACACCAGTTTTGGAAGGGAGACACTGCAGTGCTACCTCACCACGTAGGCCTTTGCTGCCCTTAACATCAAGACTTGTCTTGGACCAGAGGTCGGCAAGGTTTACCTCGCCTGGGCAAGTTCACTCCAGCGGACATCCCTCCATGCAATTTCTGGCATTTACGTATGCACAGACACGATTTCCGGCATCTGCGCAGATGTGATTTTCAGCGCCTGAGCATGCACAGATGCGATCTCCAGCATTGCAGGCAGATCGGTTCAGGGGCTGGTTAAACGACCCCCATGGGCCACTTGTGGCCCATGGGCCTTAGGTTGCCTACCCATGTCTTGGACAAATACTTCTGTATTAGACAAACAATGTCCATATGGAAACATAGTGAGTGCATCAGAGAAGTTTTTCCATGCTTTATCCACTCTCACAGTAGGACTGACCTTCTGAAGCCCCGTTCAGGCACAGTTGGATTTCCTTCTTTAATTGTGAACAATTTCACTTCCCAAGAAAACAAAGCACTCAGTTAACAACCGAAAATATATTTGGTGCCCTGGCTTCTTTGCACCCCTAGTGCAGAAGACATATAAGGATGTTCAAACAAACCTCCTAATTTACTCCGTACCTATATGTGTGCATGTTGGGAGGTAGCGTTGTTTGAACACCTCATTGTTCGAAGGCAAGATGCACAAAGCAAGAGGATTTCTTTTTGGCAGTGTGCAAACCAGTTTCCTTCTCAGTTCAGAGCATAAAAATGTCATCAGCTGAAAAAAGCCATAGGAATTGCCGCACCGTTACAAAATTCAAGCCAATTGTGCAAATAGAAAACCAAAACTGAGTTTAAAAATCCAGTAGTGCCTTGACAAAAGCGTTTGTATGCTCCTGCTCAAATAATCTGAACCACGTGGAAATCAGCTTTGCACAAGTAGGCTCCAGTGTAGACTAGTGTTCACGAGGCTCAATTTTTCAGCAGCTACTAAGCTGCTATTATTGCAGGGCTGGGTCGTTAGCAGTTTTGAACTTTGGCTGTTTTCTGCCAAGTCTTTCAAAAACGGTAACAGTGTTAAGGCGCTCATTGTCAAGGTATTGTAATTTATATTTCAAAAAGCAAACCCTTTTCAGTGCTTTTTTTGAAGGGATAGCTGCTAATTTAACATTACTTTTGCTGTGCCCAGGCATTTCCTGCTTTCACTTTGTTATCGTGACACAGAAGTACAGTACAACAGCTGGTTTGTTCTTAGAGCTCCTGAGGAGAGCCTTATTCTCAGAGTGCTGAATTTCCTTTTCAGCTGTAGCCGTAGGGGTGTTCTTAATGTTCAACTTTTTAGAGCGGCATTCTTTGCCCCCCCAACCCCTCTAAAGAGCTGTGATGCTGATAAGGCAGTGAGATGGAATAAGCTTTGGCATGTGGGGGAAGGGAGAATGAGAATAGCCCTGCAGATTTCGGATTCTAACAAAACAGGCAAACTTTCAAAGAACTTAATCAAAATCAAGTAACGTTGTAGTTGTAGTAGTAGTAGTAGTTGTTGTTGTTAAAGTTTGTGCTGCAGTTAGCCAGAGGGTTACTTTCTGTATAACGTATTTGCTTGCTTGGGACAAAAAATGCAAACTCAACTTTTGCAAATAAAAACAACAAAACGAAAACATT